CACTAGGCAAACTAGCCGCAGTCCAGTGAACGTCAAATTAGAATGCGAAACGTGTTGCCAATGGGAATGTGGACGTTGCTGTTGCTGCTGCTTCTGCTGCTGCAGCTCTTGATGTTACTGCAGCGGACAATGGACAATGTGGCGGCACCTTTGGCTCAGACACAGCGGCATGCAAATGCAGCAAATGCAAGAACAACCACACCAAGAGTTGCTGTGCTGCTGGAGTGCAAATTAATTGAAGCATCGCCGCAATGTCAACGACAGCGGCAGCAGCCGCAACATCACGTGTTGCATGTGGCATTTTGGCGTAGGCTGAGCTTGGCTCTGTCCTGCCCCAGCACATTCTTATAATTATGTCATTTAATTAAGCAAAGACAGTTTCGCTGTGCTACGACTAATTAAAACATCGCGCCAGCAGCAGAAACATCTCCAGCAGCAACAGCAACATCTCCAGCAGCAACATGTGCAACATACAACGCGGGCGGTTGAATGAATGACCGGCACTGTCAATGCAACGAGCAATATAACACAAACAGCGCTTCAACTTTGCCGCTCAATGGATCGTACGATGTAAGGAATGCTTCCAGGAATTTGGGTCATAATTAATGTGGCATGATTTGGCAGACACTTTAATCAAAGCGAATTGAATAGAGAATGAATAAAGAATAAACCACTCAAAAACTAGAGAATCGTTTTTAAAACGTATACGCAATTTTGCACTCAAAACATGAATTAATTATTCTTATTATTTTTAAAATATGCATCTTATCCACCTCTTTACAAAAGCGTTAACAATAATGGTCTTAGTTGTGATAATCCCCCCTAAACTCTGTTCCCTGTGTGTGGTGATTTTTTGTCAAGGAGTTCGAGGACTTTGTTCCAGTACAAAACGCACATCAATCATACGCAGCGGTGGCCCAGCTGTTCAATTGCAATACCATAACTCACTTTTATAGGCCATCCACTCGCACACAATTCGCTGAAAACTTGCGCACCGGGATTAAGATTTGCCGCCGAGATTCTGGCCACGGCACGCTATTGCTATAGCTCCGACCGACTGTAAGGCCAAAAGCCTCGTGGTTGCAGTCGGTAAATTACAACAACTATTACGGCCCAGCCCCAACTTGGCTAGCCAAGTTGGCTGTTTGTAATTTCTTGGAAACTCCAGTAACAGTCCGGCTTATGCTTATGCGCTTTCGGGCCTGGCCGCATGAAAATTTATGAGTGGACAGCGCTTCAAGTGCAACACCTGGTAGCTGCTGGCTCTGGATAGGCTCACTCCAAAAAGGGGCAAAAAGGGAACAGGAGCTCGATTTGGCCAGCCTTTTCAATGGGCCCGCATCGCATTTGATATCCCTTGTGGCCAGCAGTGCAGCAGCAGCAGCAGCAGTCGCAGCAGCCCACTGTGCGTGACATTTGCGTTAAGTGGCTGTGGGAACTTTCAGCTTCTCGAATTATGAACCGAGCAGAGCGGCCGCCGCAGAAAGGCAAAAACTTTTCATTTGCCCGATTTTGCCTCACAGATAAGCCGAAAAAGTTGCCAGCAACAAATGAAAATGCACGACACACACACACAAATATTGTCAAAAACTTGGACCTCAGATATCGCTATCTCTATCGGGGCATCTATCCATCTCTTACCGAGTGTGAATGCAATGGCTATACTCGCTCGGTTCGAATTGCATATATATTTTTGCGGGCCAAAAATATATTCAAACCGTTCGGTTCGCTCGGGGTAATTAAAAATAAATTTTATGCTCGAGCTTTAACAGCCGTCGGAGCGAGCACAAAAAAAAAGCTGAAATCAAACATGTTACGATGACTTGACGAATTTTAGATGCTCTCATTTAAGGTCATTAGTTAACTATTCAACACCACAAAAATACCAAAGATTCCTTTAAAAACTAAATAGACAACCTGTGCTCCAATTTTATGTTTCATTTTATTTCGATAATCTTCTTATGGCCAACATTAATTTAACTTAATTGGCTAAATGCAAATGGGGCTTAAACGATTATTTTTATGGAGATGTTGGCGTTAAATTCCGGCTATTTTATTTATATAAATATATAGATATATCTATAGTATTTAGTTAGACAAACTTAAAATAAAAGAAAATCCTAGTTACAATTTATATAACCCTTGTATGATGCCCAATGGCCACAAAAGTGTACAATCATGTTTAAGACAAATAGCAAAATACCAAAACAAAGATATAAAAAGAGGGACAAAAACAAGAGGTTGTGTGTTTGTATTTTTTCATCGAAAATGTTTGAGAAAAAACCGAGTCAAGATGAAAAAATGTAGAAAAATAAAACAAAAGCTCAAATAAACAGACACACACACACGAGTCACGCGGCAGACCAAAGTTATTGCCAAAATTTTCGGCATGTTTGCTTTTGAAATTTAAATTTCACATTTGTTGTCGTTGGTTTTTATGGCCTGGGCTATCATAAAAATCTCCGAGGGAGTGTATATACATAAGTGTGTGTGTGTCTCAAAGTGTGTTGGCCATTAAACTGCATTGGCCCAAAGAGTAGATGGCTGTGGAGTAGAGAGTAACCCACACTGATACCGCCCTAGTTGCTTAATTTGCCATTAATGACAGCGACTAAAGTCGGGCGAGACGACCGCTCATAATTGACAACTAAATTGGGCTTCTGACAGCCCCAACTTTTTTTTCGAGGGGGTTTGGGTCTCCTTAATCCCTCCCGAGATGTGACATATGCAGACTAATGAATTTTAAAATCAACGCTCGCCACAGGTGCCCGTCCGTCGAGTGCCACTTCACTCCACTCCCCAGACAAACTGTCTGTCAAACGATTTGAATCCCAGTCTGAATCCGAATCCGATACCGAATGCGAGCTCCAAATCGCGGCATGAATGAATTACAGCAGCGACTGGGGGATCGCTGGATGGAATCAAATCAAGCATCAATAAAGTCGGCATATGAATAACATGAATTAAACATAAATGCAAAAGGAATGGCCTCGGCACACAGCCTCCGCGAGCTGATTGATCACTTTGCAGTTGCAGCCTCACTTAGCCCGACATTCCGCAGGGATCGGGATTGGTGCTGGGAATGCGAATGGGGATCGAAGTCGAAATCAGGAGTTACGGGGTGTCAAGGGAAGTTACGCGGGCACTGAGCTGAAATTTTAAATTAAAATTTTGCACACTCAAAGAGCAGGAAATAAATTCAGCGACCACGCCGCATTGATGCATGTCACGTTTGGGTGTTCGCTGCGTTTACGTGGAACTGTCAAAATGCAAACCGAGCCGAGAAATAAAACCAAAACCAAAACCAATGCCACCAGCAGCAGCAGCAGAGACAGCAGCAACATCGGCCAAATCCCAAAAGCTGCAGCAACAATGGGCCCGGCAATGCTAAGTGCCAAGTGAAAATGGTTTGGGGCATCAACTGTCAAAACTGACAGCAGTCACAGTGACTCTCAGCCCAGAAAACTGAAAGCCCAAAACAGAAAACCGAGCCAACGGTGGCTCAAATTGAAAATTAACTTAGCGGAACTGGAAATTTTTTTTGGAGGCGTGTGAACCTCACACACACACACACCTCTGAGCTCTTAGCAAAAATATATAAATATACATATACATAAAAATAAAACAGAAAAACAAAAAAAATGTCGTCTGCGCGGTTTTTTTTCGGGGGCTCTCTCTCTCTCCCTAATGAGCATAGATCATTTTCAGTCTGACCGAGGAACAAATTTCAGACAATTAGGAGAAAACTCAACTGAAAGAATACACCACATTTTAGGCAGGGAAAACTACAATCATAATAGAGTTATAAAAGAGGGGAAAATGAAGAAATAAACCCAGTTAGTGAGACTTTCGTTTTGTTTTTCCAAAGACTTTACACATTTTAAGCTTTAAAATAGTGATTAAACAATTTTTGTAATATGCCATGAATATTAATTTCCCATTAAAGTTGTTCTTCAATGATTTCCTTTAATTTTAAATAGTTATATTTAATCATGATTTTCATTTTAATACTTCCCTAATCACTATAACCTTTTTTATGTTAATATAAGATTGTGTTGTCCCTGGTTTATCGCCCCCAATTGTTTCCTAGCTTTATCTGTAACTTTAATTTAGGTTTCAGGACTAAAATCTAGCTGCAGGACAACGGCGATTGCTATCGACTTATACTCCCTTTCCCTTCAGAATTTCAATGGCGGCCAACAGGAAACGCTCACTCAGCAACACAAAAAAGGCGCGAAGCCATCGATTTGTGGGCGTTGGGCGGTTCACAAGGGGGAAGTTGGTTCTATGGAAAGCGGTGAGGCGGAGGGTCGGCAACACCCACGCACTACGTAAAATACCAACCAGAGCGTCAACTATCAGGCAACCCCAGCCAAAATACATTCATTAAAAACGCATTAGAAATGACATTAGAACAAATGTCCAAGGGGGAATAACCGACGAAAAAAAGATGGAAGAAATTACTTAAATAAAACATAAATCGAAATGGTGGTTGGGGGTATGCGTGGTACTTTCCCTACTTTGGAAAATTTCCATAAATCTTTATCAATTTTAGTTGACATTTAAAGGAGAATTTTAATATCATTTAAGAGTGTAAAATATATGGATTTTAGCTCAGATTCAATTCACAGCAAATGTAAAAATTACTATTTGCAGTTAAGATACAAAATAGGTCTCTGGGAAATTCAGTAAATAATTGAATCAATAATAAATCTTCCTAGTCGTAAACTTCTTTAATTTAAATTCTCGGAGAATATAGCGAGGTTTAAAGGAAACAAAATTTTGTAATATGTATAAAATTCTATTGGTATTAAGAATATTTTTTCTAACAGTTTTTCTTTTAATTTATTTCGATAGAAATATCTTAAAGTTTTAGAAATCATGGACATCAATGTTATCGACTACTCTTAAAAGATTGAATATATTCTCTGACTCCAAGTAATTAATTCCCATTAAAGTTTTGAAAAGCAATTTTTAAATTTTCAGGAAATAATACTTACTGTGCTGATGATAGCTGGGATAGTAGCGCCGATGGTGTCCATTGCTCTCGAGGGCGTAGAAGGCGCTCATGTCACTGCTGTCCAGTCCGGAACCGCCGCCGCCGCCAAGGGTCGCTCCCACGCTGCTGCCCGCTGAACTGGCGCCGCTGGAGAGGCTGTGATGGCTGTGGGCCAGGCTGCTGCCGGCGCTGCCAAGGCCGTTCGTTTGGGGCGAGACACCGCCCCCATTGCCGCCGCCGCCGGTGGAGCCGCCGCCTAAGCGCGGACTGTCATACCAGCTGCGAGCGGCAGCCTCCGCTGTTGAGGTCATATCCATTTCGAGTATAATTTTGAAAGCTTTTCTGTGCTACCGGGGGCCAGGAATCGAGTCGGATCGGATCGGATCGGATCTCTATATCGCTCTAAATCTCTCTGCTAAGCTCTGCGGGGGTCTTCGTGATGGCTCCCTCAATCGCTACGCATTTTAACCGCACAATAACTCTCGCGCTCTGCAAGTCAAGAAATTTCAACTTTAGCAAACTGAAGTTGTGTTTTATTTTCTGTATTTTATTTTGGTTGTCTGCCTGTTGATAAGATTTTAACGGTAGCCGGCGTTATCACTCGCTCTCATTCTTATCGCGGTAGCTTTACATTTTTGTTCAATTGTTTTTATGGCTTTATGGGTGCGGTGTACAGTTGTACAGGATAACCACGAGTTGATTTACGATTGGACTTTTGGATCCGCTCCGGCTAGTGCGGAGTGTGTGAGTGTTTTTTTTTTTTTGGTGTGTGGGAAATGCCAAAATAGAGAAAAGCAAATCGTATATTTTGGCATTCATTGTTTGATTGATGGATGACCGCCCAGGGGATCTAATAAACATGTCCCCGCACAATGGCCTTGTGGCACTGTCACAATGTTTACACACACGCAGCAGACAATGGCAGACACTAAAGGAGAAATCCTGGGGATTTCGGCAACCGAATCTGCGGGATGTCAGGAGACGGCGCCTCCTGCGCGGGAGGCAGGTGAAACTGAGTGTGTGTTTGCGTGTGTGTGTGTGGGCGCAATCTGGGACGAATTAGAGATTTATCGTAGAGCTCGAATTGCTGGCTGGTCGACTGACGAAGAAAGAACCTCAAGGCGTATCGCGCACAGACAACTCCCCCTTTGATTTAGACAGGTAGCCACATTTTTTTTTTTTTTGGGAATTTTCGGGGGCTTATCAGCGATAGATAGCAAGTTGTGTGTATGTGTGTGTGCACTGCACTCGATGATTTCTTTTTCGAAACGATTATTATCAACGGGAGTTCTTTCTCGACTCAACTACGACTACCTCTTCTGTTTGCCCCGCTTGTTTGCTTTGGCTTCGAGAAATTAATAGTACAACCCGCGTTCGGACTCTATCTTTAAGGTGCCAGATGCCTATCGCTCAATTGACAATTGCGCTACAGAAATGCGCGATAAGGCAACATAATTTGTTACCTCCCGAGGAAGGTGCAAGAAAAACAAATAAGCAGACTATTTTGATTCTCCTCCTCAGTCGAAAACTCAATCAATTTATCTATCTATCAGAAGCGATAACTGGAGTGGAGGTGAAGGTGGAAATAAAAAAAAGAAGCAAACACTTTTCATTAAATGTCTTCGATTTGGTTCTTGTTTTTGTTGTCCAAAGTTGATAGCAATAAATTGATAAGCGCAAGTGCCAGATTTTTCGAACGCCGTGTCAGCAATTTTCGGGTTTTCCGGCTCTGATCGTTCGATAAGGATAATGAACTTTTTTCGAGGGGATAGCGGCGGGCTAGCGTTAAAATCTATTTTAATGGGTTTATTTCCAAATTGGTTTCTTGGTTTTCGAGATATATATTCTTGGGTTTTTGTCACTTGATCTTACATTTCATTCAAAAACACTTTCGAATATTAGTCACACTGCTTGGTTTTTCTGGGTGTTTTCTTTTGTTTCGTATATTTGTTGTTTCTTATTTTTGATACATTTGTTTTGTTTGATACACTGAGCTCTATGAATTTTTGCCGACGCGTTTTGAGCTTTTGTTTGTTGTTGGTGTTGGCGACCGCCGCGAGACGAGAATCGAAAGACGAGCGAACGAGCGAACGGGGGCGCACGAACAATCGACGATAACACGCTTGCAAACACGTCAACAGTTGAAATTGAACTGAACGAACACGAGCGCAAAACAGGAAAGACCAGCGCGCTGCTTGCTCGAACACCAACACAGACGCACACGGGCACACGCACACGGGCCGGAAGGGAGCGCGAGCGAGTGAGCGAGAGAGGGGGAGAACCCGTTTGCCGAGGGCCGGCCTTCGTGCGTGCGTGTGAGTGTGCTGGCACATACAAGATGGTCGCACTGTCAAGCAGTTCGACCGGGGGAGCAACAGAGATAGCCGTTTGTTTCCCGAGCGGACAATATGCCTGTCACACTTCCGCTTGGCGAGCGGGGCGTGTTTTTTTGCAGGTAACCGGTTGCAGCTGCAGTGGCTGCTTGTTGTTTGTTTGCCCCTCGGATTGCTGTTGTTGCTGTTGTTGCTCTCTCCGCTCGAGTGCATCGTTCAATAATCTCTCTGCGGCACGCCTCTCTGCACTTGACACACACATTCGCACTAGCACTATAGAGTTGCGTTGCGTTTTGGTTGTCTGTTCGCTCCACGCCGCTCCCTCCCTCCTCGTACCTCGCCCGCTGTCAAACAGTGACAACAATCATCGATCGTTCCGTTTGTGATTATGTGGTTTATTTATGGGCTTTAACATGTGTGCAGATTTGTCTGACGATTTTTGAGTTATGTTTGTGTATGCGTATGCCAGGGCGTGAGAGCGGGATGGCTAGCTGCAGCACACACTCACACACATACACAAGCTCACTTACACAGACGGGGCTAAATTTGCATAAATTAGCAGCTGGAAATTAAGAGAACTACACATCTCCCCTTCGTCGCACAGCATCTTTTGCGAAAAGATAGTTCCTATCTAGATGCAAATTATTAATATGAAGCTCATATATTTTCGCGGCAACTTGGCTCCTTTGCTGGTGCGTATGTATTGTACATCTGCTGCGCATAAGCAGCTAGCACATACACATACGTCTTAACAAGAAGGAAGTCGAATACGTGTGCAACATTTTGGTTTTTATACTTTAGCAGGGTATTATAAATTTAGTCAAAGGCTTGTAATGCTGTGAAGAAGTCATTTCCGACTCTATAAATCATATATATTCTTGATCAGCATCAACAGGCGAATTTATCTAGCCATCTGCGGAATAAAATAAAAATATTGAAATTTTTTCGAATTTTCACAATTTTTATAAGGGGTTACATCATTAAAATTGTCAAAAATTGACAAAAATTTCAATTTTCTAAATTTTCAAATTGAGTAAGCAGATTTATTAACCTAACAAAAACAAACATAGGAATGGTTTCTGAATTAAAATTAATGATTTTTTGGCTTAGTTATGAGTTTTTTAAACTTTGATTTGTCAACAAAATTGTCATATAAAAATAACGCTGCTATAATTTAAACTTAAACTGCAAGGGTATTTAAACTTTGACTTTCCGAAGTTAGCTTTCTTGCTGATGTTTATTTGCCACAGTCAAACTTCTAAATAAATAACTTTTAGAGGCCGAATTTGTATATATAATATACAATATGCCCTAAATGTTACGAATAAACGAAATGAATAAAGAGTGTAAATATATGTACATATCTTGTAATAGTTTTACACGCTTTATTCATTTCCTTATACCATAAAATCCTTATTTTTATATTGCACAAAATCTTCTAATAAAAAATGTTTACCAACTGCAAGAGAAGCCATATATCCATAAAACAAATTTTTTATGAGACTGCAGTGGAGGTATGAGTGGCGGAAGTTCGACTGTACATTTGCCCCCGCATTGATTTTCGCATTTAAGAAGCTAACTTTTTGGCGCCAAAGGGTTAAGTGGGGCTGCACCTGTGCGCTGGCGAAAAAGGATGCTATCTCAGGTGGGCGACGGTGAAGGGGAGCTGTGTGGAGAGCACAGGAAAGACAGCTGCGAAACTTACCGAAAGTTTCCCAGGCCGACTTAATTCCACATGAATATTTTTGAATATATTTCGTATTCTCGCATTGATCGTTTTCCAAGGCATTTCATAAGTTCATATTGCCGAGATACGGATCTGACCAGATCTGGCCGGGCTTATGGCCGAAATAAACCGTTTGTCAAAGCCCCGGGCTGACTACCTAAGTAGTTTATGTATGTAAATACCTGCGACGCAGATAGCGCTGTTGATAGTTACAGATACATAATTCGAGATAAAGATACAACCCGAGACCCGGGCTCCCAAAGACAGTGAGCGGCTGCCAAAATATATGTATTTTAGACAAAAAAAAAACCTGTAACCAAAATCAGATCAACAAACGGTGCGAACACCAAACACGAGCGACGAACCACAGAAGAGCCAGAAACAAACAAACCACAGAAGAAAAAAACAACAACAACAACAATACACAGAGAAGAAAACAAACACCAAACAACACACACAGCAAACACTGGTGGTGTTGGTGTCGCCGCCAGAACAAGGCAGGCAATCTGCCAGATGCAAGGATATACCTATCGGATACGGATAGGATAGCAAAGTAAGCCGTCGCCAGTGCAAGATCTTCGATTAGATGATATTGGTACTGGTATTAAATCTATGTATGTCCACAGATTATACAATCTTGCACTTGATCATATGGCGGCAATTTTCACTGCCGAGTGTCAACATTTTACCTAATTACGGATATTGTATCTATCCCTGGATAGATGCACATATGCTATTATAAAAATGCGTTTTTATTTCGTATCACAATATCAAAGTTCTACTACTTTTCCTAAACTCTAGACGAATTGGAAAAGAGGAAATGATTTCGTCTGGGCATTAACTAATATAAAGAATCGGAAATGACTTCAGACTAAAATTAAATTATAATACCCATTAAGTGTAGAATAAATAACCGATCCAAACCACACATCCTAAAACATAATAATTACATTATCAGAATTATTTCCACGATAGTATAATCTTAAGATTTTAAATAAGTACATCGGACCACCATAAATGTAATTTATATTTAAACTGCGATTTAAATTTTTGAGTGATATAAATCACCTGAGATCCTCCAGCAATTCGAACGCTTTGAGACAGCACTGGAATGCCAGCGCGGAAATCTCAATGGGTTTTGGGGTTTCAGCGATAAGATTCCCCTCAGTCATGTCTACTTATGGGTATCAAAATGGATGAATTGTCACGTCTGCCTGTCGAGCACTGGGAACTCAACTGGTAATCGCCAAGATGATAA